GAAAATACAGCAAAAATATTTAGAAAGTTTTGGAAAAAACTACAATCAATTATTTCTAATAGATTTCGAGATATCGATTTTTGAATTCAGAGTTCTAATAGCCCAGCCACTGTCGAAAACCAACTCAATTCCACTTATTTTTACCAAAAATGCAAGTGTTTCTAGCTTGCACTTAAAAATTTTCAAGCTATAGGGAAAATTACAACGACTCGTTAATAAATAAACAAATAAAGTATCACGAGACGTAATTAAATCGTGAAGCTGAACGCATGTTGTACACCTTTCCCTAGAACTTTAAGTACTGACAGAGGTAATAGGTCTGTTCGTTTTCCTGTTATTATCGATTCTCAATCGCCCTAGAACTCTCCAGCGCATGCGCAAATGAAATAATGTCTTCATATTTCCTTCTGCGCATACACATCACAATTCTAGGACGGTTCAGAATCGGTAATAACAGGAAAACGAAAAAAGCTACTGATTGGATCGACCGGTCAACTGCGACAAATGTGATATATCCCCTTCCACGTCTCTTAACAATGTGCACAGTTTCTCGATTCATTTCATACGTTTGGCAACATTTGGCAACGTGTTTACTTTTCTCTCTTTGTCCAGTACATTATAAACGCATTGTACTCTTCTTACATACGGAAATCTCAATCCAAGACTAAGCTTTGCCAGCCCTTAGTATAATATCTTATGAGCACCCACGAGCTTTTATAAAAGCCAGCGCTCCTGCCTCCTCATCGTCGTGCCTCTAGTGCCTCAAGGATATTATTAAAAGGACTTTTTTAAAAATCGTCTGTATCATCGTCTGTACTGTGAGAATTTGGATTGATCCTCGATAAAACCGTGATTGGAACTAATATCGTAAAAAGTTTTTAGATCCGCCACTGTAATAACGACAGATGCATCGGCCGCAGTTCATATCAATTAGAACCGAGAACGAGAAAAAGGAAAAGACGGTAAACCGATCGCCGTATGCGATTTCAAACCGAAGCCTCGCCGAAGCAATAACAACATCCTAGCCGCCGCTTCGTGGTTTCGAAAAGATTCTCCTCTTCTTCTGGTCGGCCGAGGTCGAGACCCACCCTTCGAACTGGTTCGGGAGAATATTTTCGAGATGAATGAACCACGTCGATGGATGCACCTGTCACCTGCTGCTGCCTGCGGTAACAACAGGGTCCCTTTCGATTTTAAACATGAGAAAGATTATTTTACGATAACCCGTTGGAATTCGTGAAAAAATATTATATTATGTTTTTATTATATTATTTGAAATACGGTTAAATCGATTAGAAACGCAATAACTCTTATATGTACCAAAAAGTAATTTGCTGTAGCTAAATGATATTTAGGTTAGATTAGATTTCTTGAGGTTCTTATTGGCCTATTCTAAGTTACGCGTTCTCCATTCCTATCATTTTCAAAAATCTAACACCTTGGAAACTCAACCTTCCATTTAGTTCTTTGTCAACGACTTATCACTGTTTAAAACATAGAGCACCATGTTTGTCAGGTTATTGTACTGACATAAAATGTGCCGGCGTTTCTTTTTTTCTGATTGACAAAATCGGCACATGGTATTCGTCCGTCAAACCTATCAGCTTTATATGCCTATTAAACTTGCCATGTACCCACCAACTTGTGACGATCAACACACTGAAGGAAGCTACAAGGTACCATCAAGGCCAAGCAGCAAGCGACGTGGCAACACCGGGAGGACTCCGCTACAGCTCGAAGACTGTGGCCAGTTGTAGATACCTAAAAGACAAAACAACTATTAGAGCACAAAAAGAACCTAGTATGCATAATTGTAGGTGTCATCACTGGAAACTGCCCCATGGATAAACCTCGTGAAATGGAAAATATCCAACGACGATTACTCCAGATGATGCGGAGGGGAAGAAGAAACCATAGTGCACCTGCTGTGCCACTATCCGGCACTGGAATACCGACGCTTTAAAACTCTAGGGTAATGTTTTTTGGAGGGACTAGAGGAAGCAGCAGAAGCCAACATCAGCGACATCGGGAACTTTGCAAAGAGCTGGAAGTGCTTTAACGCAAAGAATGAATGCGAGGAAGGTTTGGTAGAACAATACATGGGTATCGCAATGGGCTCATGGCCTCCGAGTGAGGGATCAAACATGATCTCAAACTCCACCAACCTAACCTAACCTAGACCTACAACATTTTTGATTGTCTTCTGTCTTTGCTTCTCAGGTCAACTTACTATGACTTTTTTGCCAGTCTCTGCTCTGCTGAATTTTTTCGCCGTTCTAGATATCTTTTGATCCACTTTTGTGTGGCCATTGTTGTAACTGCTATCATAGCACCTCGTAGCCTTGGGCCTACAAAAGACATTGATATGCCTTGTTTGGCCATTTTGTCTCCTTTTTCGTTGCCTTTGTGACCATCGTTTCCCGGTACCCAGGCTAATTTACTTATAATTTAGTCGAACCCAACACTTTCAAGTCATTATCTTATTTTAACCAAAAATCCCTCTCTAAAAAGAATCGAAGAATCGAAAATTGAATTTCTTGTATACATACACCCAGTGCTAAAACAATGAAAGCGTTGATATTTAACTGGCTTTATTTTTAATTTTTCTCTCTAATTAGATAGAAGGGTATTTAAATTACCAGTTAAGGGCCAGTTAAAATTTTATATCATTTTTGTCTAATTAAATGATTAACAATTAGTTTGTAAATAAAACATAAACTGAATTATATTTGTTTTGCCAATTTAATATCTGGACTAGGTAAAGCAAATTGATGTTGCTATATGGACAACAAATTATAAACTAACTTAAGCTTTAATATTTTATTAATTAACTCTTTTCGAATTTAATACAAATGTGTTTATCTATCAATAATACCTTCTGAATGGATACATCATTCTTCTTGAATTTTACAGATTATTTATTATAGTATTCTTCTTTAATTTAATGATGAATGGAAAATATGTTTGGTTTGGTTTGGATACCACAATATCTAAAACGCTAGGTCTCACTGGTGCGTTACGCCTTACTATTAAAGAACAAATAGGAAATATTATATTCTTACCCTGTATTTTCCGGTCGCTCTCAAGGGTCGTGTAAAGCGGGTATGTGACCAAAGGAAATATATATTATATTTCAGAAATCTGCCTCAGGCTTAGCCCGATCCTGTCGTGTTAAGCCATACCCAACATTCCAAACAGACGTGCTTTGATTAAGGCTTCATTAAGGTTTGCAGAGCTTCAGCATTTGCCATAAAATAACGCGCAATCTGTAACAAAACCATATAAATTATATATCACTGTAATCACAAAACTTCCATCTATTTCCCTATTGTAACGGAATTTTAAATTATGTCTTTATTTTCGAGAAAATTTAGTCCAAAAATAAGGAATATTTTGTTGATGTTTGACCATCAAAATCTTAAAAATAAAGAAGTTGTCTAAAAATGTGCTACAACACGGATATAGTATAATCTTTTATCTTTAATTTCCTTCTTCATTTGTGTAAAAGTACCAAGCCAGTGTTACATAAAACGTTAAATGCCGAACGCTTATTTTGCTACTTTTTCAGACCAGTGAAATGGACTCTAATGATAGTATAAAATATTGATCTGCAACTAATTGTTACTTTAAAGTTGTGCTGAAAAATATAAGTGATTTGTAGCGGTTACAGCGGTTACAGTGTTTTTAATTCTTCTTCTTCTTCTTCAAATGCCTTCTTCGTTGCGAAGGTTGGCAATCATCAGTGCTATACGTATTCGTGACACAGCCGACCGAAATAGTTGGTTTGTGGTGCACCCGAACCAGTCACGTAAGTTTCTCATCCATGAGTGGCGCCTTCTTCCTACACTTCTCTTTCCTTGAATTTTTCCTTGTAATATCAGTAGGTGGTACTTTTCTCCTCTCATGACGTGTCCAAGGTACTGAAGTTTACGCTTTTTTACCGTTATGATAATTTCTTTTTCCTTTTTTATTCTTTTCAGGATTTCCATGTTGGTCACTTTATCTGTCCATTTTACCCTAAGCATTCTACGGTACAGCCACATCTCGAATGCCTCTAGTTTCCCTATGTCAAGTTTATTCAGAGTCCAAGTCTCTACACCATAATACAGCACCGACAAAACATAGCATCGCACCATTCTGATTTTTAAATCCAAGCTGAGATCGCTGCCACAGAGCACTCTTTTCATTTTCACAAATGTTGTTCTCGCCTGTCCTATTCTAGTTTTAATTTCTTCAGAACAGTCGTTATTTTTATTTACAATTATACCTAAGTATTTATAACTGTCAACTTTTTCTATGGTGTGGTTATTTATATGAATTTGTGAATTGTTTGGTGTTGTTTTGGTTATTATCATAAATTTTGTCTTTTTTACATTTAGTGACAGTCCGAGCTCTTCACTCGATGTATTAACTTTATCTACTAATATCTATAAATCGTTTAGGTTGGCAGCCATCAGGATCGTATCATCCGCATATCTTATATTGTTGATAGGCACTCCGTTAATTTTTAGTCCTTTCGTTTCATCGTCCAATGCTCGTTTCATTATTTCCTCTGAATAGAGGTTAAATAACATCGGTGATGTTATTAGCACGCACCCCTGCCTAACGCCTCGACGGATTTCTATTTCTTCGGTGTTATTCCCTTCTATTTTTACCACTGCTTTTTGATTAAAATAAAGATTCGTAATAATTTTTATATCTCTGGTGTCTAAGTTCTTTTCTTTCAGAAGCTGGATAAGTTGTTCTTGTCGGACCCTATCGAAGGCTTTGTTGTAATCAATGAAACATATATAATCCTGATTCATATCCATACATCGTTGGGCGAGAACGTTCAAAGCAAATAGTGCTTCTCTTGTGCCTAAGCCATCTCGGAAACCGAATTGAGTCTCGCTGATATCCTGTTCTAATGTTTTGTAAATCCTGTGATGTATCACCTTCAGAAGTATTTTTAGCGTATGACTCATTGACGGATTGTTCGAAAGTCTGTGCATTGCCTTGCATTACGTTTTTTCGGGATAGTGACGAACGCTGATAGCAACCATTCCCTGGGTATAATACCTGTTCTGTATATGGTGTTGAACAGATCTGTGTATGTTTTCCTCTTCTATCAACTTGAGAATTTCAGAGGGTAACTCATCATGCCCTGCGGCTTTTCCATCTTTTGTGATTTTTATAGCATGGATGACCTCTTCTTTAGTTATTTCCGGTCCGCTGTTTTCTTGTTCTGTTACTAGTCTGTTTATATCTCTCTCATCATCGAACAATTCTATTATGTAATTCTTCCACGTTCTTAGTTTTTCTTCCATTTCCATAATGATTTTGCCATTCTGGTCAGTGAGTATTGACGGTTGTCTTTTTTTCTGTAATCCTGCCAGTTCTTTTACTTTCTTGTGGACATTGAAGCTGTCATGCTTTTCTTGAAGGGCTTCTATTTCGTCGCATTTTCTTTTGTAGAACACCTCTTTTGCTTCTCTTATTTTTGATCGGATTTCTTTCTGAATATTCTTATATGCGTCGTTGTTGTCTTTTACACCACGTCGTTCGTTCATCAATTTCAAAATTTCTGGAGTGATCCATTCCTGTTTTTCCCCTATTTTCTGTTTTGTCAGAATAATCTTGCTCGGCTCAATTAATGCATTTTTTAAATCTTCCCATTGTTTGTCCGTGTCTTCTTCCGTTGTTATTTGATTGTTTTTGAGGGTTCTGAGGTTATCGTTGATATTATTTTGTAGCCTTTGCCTTGTTTCTTGGATTTTTAGACCCGATACGTCTATACGATTTGCTGTTGGTATTACTCGTTGTTTTTTAAGTGCTATTAAAAACCGGGCTACTAAGGGATTATGGTCCGATGAGACATCTGCCCCTGGGTAGGTTTTTACTGATTTGATTACATTTTTATATCTGTGGTTTATCAGGATGTAATCAATTTGGTTCCTGACTATATTTTGTTTGTCGTCTTGCGGAGATTTCCAGGTGTACAAACGACGGTTTGGAAGTTTGAAGAACGTGTTCGATATAATAAAATCGTTCTCTTGGCAAAATTGCAGCAGTCTGTCGCCTCTTTCGTTTCTCCTACCAAGTCCATATTCTCCCACACAATTATTAAATCTCCCCCTGCCAATCTTGGCATTGAAGTCTCCTAATACTAGTGTTATGTCCCTTGATTTTAGAGATTGCATGATGTTATTGATTTTGTTGTAGAATTCCTCAATGTCTTCGTCAGATTTATCTGCTGTAGGGGCGTATGCTTGAATTATGTTTGGTTTGGTTTGGTTGATGTTTAATTGATGTTTAATTAATTAAACAATGATGTTTAATTTACAATGATGTGTTTTTAATCAAAGTGTATTAAATTGTTACAAGTTTTTTTGATTTGATTTTACTTTATTATTACATATAAATAATTTCTAATTCCTATTTACTTATTTTTTTTTAAGAATTTGATATTACTTCAGTTCCAATATTTTCAAATAGGTACCATTTTTCAAATTTTAAATTAATTTTAAAATTTCGGTTAGTATATTTTTTTTTATTAAAATATATAAAACACAAACTAGTTTCCTACTTTAATCCTTTTAAAAAAATAGATCTTTTATCTGTAATTTTAAAAAACCTCAACGGACTTTAACTTAACTTTTAGTCATTTGGTTTTACCATATCAAATTGGATTTGTAACATTGATGCTACTTAATAGTAATTAGAAACTTGAAGACTTGATGGGCCCAAATCAGATATCTTTTCGTTTCCTTTATTAGCAACTTTGACATCATATCCTATAAGTGCTAAATACATCAAAAGATAAATAGCATTTATGATTTTTTTTGATTCCGATACACAAATTACCATAATGAATAAAATTATCATAACAAAATAGTTGGAGCAAAATTAATAAACCAAAAATTATCCCAACTGCCCAACAACATAATTTTCTGTAAATTTCCCACCTCTCTCTGTCGGCTATAGAACAGTCTTATTAAATTTGAAAATTGAATATGCTGCGTTCTGCAATTTAAAATAAATAACTTGTTTTGCTCAATACAATCAGTTACCATCTTTTCTAAATTGTTTTTATAAAATAATAGTATATCAGATTTTGCACATTATTTTCATAAATGAAGAAATTGAAAAATCAGAAAAGTGAAAAATTAATTTAGTTTTTTTAATAGATAAAGTTTTCTAAATTACTTCTCTGCAGTCTTCATTTAACTGTTTCTTAATGCTCTAGAACAAATATCTTTTAGGAATCTGACCATGCAACAGCTAAAATTCCAGCAATTTTAAAGGACGTACTAAATAAAAACTGTTGCATGCTATCGATTAGGCAAATAAATGTGTGCAGTGCTGCCACTACGCAAATATAGCCCTAATGGGACGGTTTCAGTGAGTTTTAAATTTACCTTTCGATATTGTGTCGGCAACGCCAAGGAAGTGTTTATTTGACATTCAAGTTCAGTCAGATTTTTCTGAATTTTAATTGAGAGTTGTGTCTCGTATGTACTGTGTCTTTTAAAGCTTTTAAAACCTTTATCTAGCGATTGAAAACTACTTTTTTCAGAATATTTTGTGTAGTAGTAATTAGTTTTTTCTTTGCAAAATATCCTGCCAGTTAAATAGTCGGTGCCAAGAATAAGTGTCATCTGTGATACAACATTTTGAGAAGGAAAAATGGACAATAACGACCCGTTGTTATCCTTAAAGGCGCTTCAAGAAGTAAGTAAAACATAAAAATAAAAATGTTTATATTTATTTTTATGTTTTACTTACTTTTATGTTAAAACAATAATAAACATGTTTTGTTTATTTTTTTCCACTGCCTGAAACTAGTTACCTTTATTAGTTATATTATTTTATTAAAAATTGTAAAGTTTACTTTAGAATTTTCAATAGATCTTAGATATGGCACATTTTTAAAAAAAATCCTCTTCCTATTACAATCTGGCAACAATGCCGTCTAAAATGTACGCACGTGCTCGATGACGTGCAATGGTTTTTAATCTTCTTTATTTTCTCAATTGTTTATTTTTAATATACTTTGAGAACTTTCGGAGAACAAATATTTACTGCATTTTTCAGTTACTTATTTACTGGAATAATATAATACAATAAGAGGACAAGATAAAAGATAGACAATTTTAGGATTAATTCATAATTGATGAATTAAAACTAATACTGCCGCCATACTTAACTACAATTGAGCTGATAATGTGTCACTCAAAAGATTAAGATATTTTAAACTAAATGAAAAGACATATTTCTTGCTTTAATTATATGGATCTATACATCAAGTGTAAATCTGACAGTTATGTTATATAAAAATATCTTATTTAGAAAAAACAACGAAAACCTTAACTTGTTCAACTCTTCAGATAAGGTTTTTTTTGTTAACATATCAAACAGTAACTTGCGGTGCATATCTGTAAGCTGTCCATCAAAGAAATTTCTTGCTAGTGACTTACACTTACTCGGCTTTCTTCGCGAAAATATTTAGTCCATCATACCACAATCATACTATAGGTGCCAAAAATATAATCTAGTTTATTTGGTTTGACACTGAAATTCTTGGTTATGGTCTGAAACATCGCGTCAAACGTTCAGAGAACACAGCCGCTGATATTCACCGTAGATTTTCGCTGACCCTTGATTTATGATATTTCGCGGTATTCCCTAAACGGCAAAAAGAACAAGAAACAACAGCTGTCTCATGCGCTCTCTGGATTTCTGTCTACTTAAAAATGTGAGAGAAATATAAATACACCTAATTGATACAATAGTTTATTATTTTATAATGGAAAATTTATTATTTGACAATACAGTATTAAACATTAATTTACAACAATACACCAAAACACTTTTACTTTTACACTGGACGCGCGTTTCGCTAACCATGTTAGCATCATCAGCAGATGATTATAAACTAAAGTACAATCTACAAGTTGAGCGTTTATATACTCGCTCAGTGGGCACCGAGTGGGCGTGGCAAAATCTAGCCAACCAAGTCAGAGCCTACTGAGCGTAACAGTTAGATTTCCGCCACTAGAGTAGTAGGAACAAAGAACTTGAAGGAATTGGACCGTTGACTCTGTTCATACTATCTTTACATTTATTAATTATGATGCTTTCATATGCATCTAATTGCCTGTAATTTGAGACTTGTTTAATTAATTTTAAATTATTAAGATCTATACAATGTTCATTATCAACAATATGTTCGGCAACGCAAGATTTATCCGGTCTACCATATCTTATCTGAGCTAAATGTTCTTTAAATCTAGTTAATATTGATCTCCTAGTTTGCCCAACATATTTCTGATTACAATCTTTACAAGAAATTTCATAAATACCCGACCTTTCCAGTGGAGGTGTTTTATCTTTTGGATTACCTAATAATTGTTGTAATTTATTATTAGCACTATACACAAGTTTATAATTTACATTCTTCAAAATTCCTTTTAGACCACGGGATAACTCTCTATCAAACGGCATCGAAAAATATTTAGACGTGTCTTTCTCCACTTGAAAAGTCGAATTTTCAGAAATCATTAACCTATACCTACGTTTTCTAATTAATTTATCAACTAGTGAAGGAGAATATCCATTACACTCAGCTACATTCCTAATGTAATCTCTTTCTATTTCATATCTTTCTTTGGAAAGTGGGAAACTAAGTTATCTATGAACTAGGAAATTTAAACTAGCCATTTTATGTTCAACACTATGATGTGATTCATTAGGAATATATCTGCGTGTGGTCGTATTTTTCCTATAGATATTAAATTCCAGGCAATTATTAATATTTCTAATAACTCATACATCTAGAAATGGTAATCTGTCGTTGTTCTCAATTTCATGCGTAAATTTAATGGAAGGAAAACGATTATTAACTTAGAAATAAAATTATCTATGGTGTCTGAATGTGTGTCAAAACAGCAAAAATATCATCCACATACCTAAACCATACTCTTGGAAAATACTCAAACTGATTCTTAGCCTCCACTTCAAACCTGCTCATGAATAAATTAGCCAAAAATGGAGACAATGGATTACCCATTGCTGTACCTTCCCGCTGTTCAAAAAAGTTGTTATTAAATTGAAAACAATTTTGTTTCATACAACATATACTGTGTAACACCAAAGGTTCCAACCCTCAACTGTAATAATTAAATTTATAAAAAAATAAGTTTATAAATAATTTTACCTATACACCTAAACAAAACAACTTAAAATAACAGGAACTGGCAGTTGATATAATGTATGATCGATTTCATGCATTTTTTTTCGATGGTATGGTACAAATAAAATTACTGAAGGTGTAAATACCATACAACCGAAAAAAAAACGACGTTATAGGTGACGTGGACATGAAAATTGCTATTATTTTGTAAGTAAACTTATATAAGGAATGTCATCGATCGTCATTTCTAAGCCAACTGGGTGCGATTTTTTCGATCAGACGGTATAATTACAATCAAAAGTTATTTATGCTGATTTAGGTTTTTTCGAAAAGTAGTACTTTTTCTTTAATTTCATTGTGTTTAGAAAATGCGAATGGAGATGGAAATCAAGTCGAATTTTCTTTATTTCTTCAACTTTTTCGATCTCTATTTACAATTGTCTTTTTCGAACGTTTTAGATTAACCTACTGCTTTGTAACTTTTTTGACAACAAATATCTCATATTTTTTAAAAATTCCATTAACCATGATTGACTATAAACTTCAACAAACCATAAAAAATAAACAATAAACTGAGAAAATTGAAGTTATTTTACATTAAAGTTATTATTACATATAAGGAAATAGATCAAGACTGACTTGTCTCAGCGTAAATATTTACCGCTGGGAATTTTGCACAGCGGCTGACTTTTGCTGTTCATCAGAATAGACCATTTAGGGAAGTCGCTTACTCAGCCACTCAGCCGCTGACCGTCCCTGAACGCGCTCATAGATTTGTAAATAAAATTTAGAAGGGACGGTGACAAAATGTCGATATATTTCATAAAACTCATCGATATACTCATCAATGTTTTGCATAGAAAATACCGGATGACTTGATGAAAAGAACGTCGTCCAGTTGACTTCGAAATGACTATATATGACAATCCCTAATTGAAACTGTTTATTACTACTATTTATTGATTTAAAAAAAACCAAGAAAAATTTTACATTTTCGAAAACCAATCT